GTCGCGACGCTCGAGTCAGGAAGTTTCCGTGGCGTCGCGACGGCAAGGCTTGCCGAGCCGATATCCGAATTGGCGATATACGCTCCTGAGCTGTACATGTTACGAGCAATTAGCGGCATTAGCGCCGAGCGTCATAACGCGCGACATACGTAATACCAGCGAGCTGAGGACGAGGGTTCGAGACTCGCTGATGGGTCCTCGAGGACAGTTCTTTTTTTTTTCTCTCGTCTTCTAAGATATATAATTTGTGTAAATGGTTAATTGGGAATTTTGGCGGTTTTAAAAAATTTTCTGGTTAGTGATAGGGGGATTTCAAGGGGGACCATTTGTAAGTATGGTTTGCGATATGGCTATGAAGTCGATGGCTTTGCTGGTGGTTTGCTCACGCTATGCTCGTCCTATGCTCGCATGCTCCGGGGAATCGATTTCGGAGAGTAGGGCGTCGCGGCGTCGCTTCTAGGAGAGAGAAAGAGAGAAGGAGAGGGACGTCTGATTTACGAGCGCCCTCTGGAATGGACGCCCCTTCGGGGCAGGGGCGCGCGGGCCGAAGGCGGCGTTTTCGCCGCGTAACTTCCGGCAATTTCGTTCCGTCTTTCTTCCTTCCCCGGAGAAAACTCCGGCTTCCGTCGCCGCGACGGTTTCTCCTTATCCTCGCGGTTTCTCCTTATCAGCCCGAAAATTCAATGGCGTCGTTTCGGCCCACTTCCCTCCGCTCGCGAGGCCGTTACGGTCTTCCTGCAGATGGCGAGGCTTGACACCGACCGCGGTTACCTGGGGGCCCAGAAATTCGTGAATTAGAAGTTAAAGCGCGAAAGGGGGGCGTTAGGAAAAATTAACGATCGAAGGCCCTCTACTTCGTGACTGCGTCCTCGCGCGCTGAATTATTAGCCCCGCGGGAACCAGGGTGCAGAAGAAGCGGTCGCAACCTTTACGAGGGACTTCTTTTCCGCGTAATTGAGAAGGAGCGGTATGGTGCAGGGCCAGTTATGCCGGGAAGAAGGGCGAAACGACTTCGGCCAGCCCCGTTTTGCCGGCATTAACGGCGAGACTGAGAGAAAAAACAAAAGAAGAAAAAAGAGAAAAAAAGAACCACGACGATCCGAACGATTATCGGGCCTTCTGGCCGTTTCGCGAGTCTCGTTGTCCCCTCGTTTCGATGCTAGAAATTTAACGACTCGCTCCTTCTCTCGCCGTGGAAAGTATGAATTTTTCCTCTTTTTCCGGGTCCCTCGATCGATGAATTTCAGAGGTTACTTCGGGTTTTATTTTTCGATGTTTCCGGTGGACGACCGAAGGAACCACCTTTGTTCCCATGGCGGGTCGAGAACCATTCGCCGTTCGCCTTCCCAGATCAAGGCCTGATCCTTAAACGCGTCGAATCCTCGATCGCGAGGACAAAAACCCACCGCGGCCATTGCGGAGAATGGTCTCTGCGTAATGGAGATCGGTAATGGCGCAAAATGTGGGCCGACTCGGTCTGAGAACTGGGACGCGTGCAGGTGCGGCGACGCCTTGCACCGTCTCGCGACATCTTGCCACCTTTTTTTTAACCTTTCTTTTCTTTCTCAGGATTTTTTCCCTTTTTCTACAGCATTTCGTCGCGTTTCCCCACGTGTCCGCCCTTCCTACCACGTTGTAAGGGTGCATGGACTAACGACAGAACTTATCGACATAATTTCTGTACTATATTCGGTTATTTGGAGACTCGAGGAGCAAGTCAAAGGAGGACCGCGATCCTTTCCCGGTTTGCGTCCTTCCTCGGGATTCTTCCCTCGGGAGAGGATCCTCCGTGAAGCAGTACTCTCCGTCTCGGGCTGCGGCGTCATCCTCGCCATTGGTCATCGCCCTATAGCGAGAGCGCCACGTAGAGCCGGAACGAATCCCTCCTCTGCGGATCCTGGCGGGTCTATAGGTTCGTCCTGGGCGAATTCGCTCTCCTGTCGCGGCTCGCTGCATCCTCCCCGTCCGCCCTCCGCCCTTTCCTCCCGCCGCCGTTCCGCCGGTTCCTCTGGTTCCTCCGGTTCCCCCGGTTCCCCCCTCCTCCGCCGGATGGCGACCCTCATAGATATTGCTCTCGGGTGGAGGCGTCGGCGTCAGGTTTCGGCCCCTCCGCTGTGTGGGAAGTGCGTGTGGCCCGTGCCGGATCGATCGGCCACCGCTCGTTTATTCCTCGTTTCGTTAACGTCGGAATCGCACAAAGAGGACCGAGTGCTCGCTCGACGTTCCTCGACGAGGAATTGCAGCCTTCCGATTATGGGGCTTATCCTCACATTTTTTGGAACGGCGAGAAAAAAAAAAAACAAAAAATAGTAGTCGGGTCTTGTCGCGGAGATTTTCGACGCGGTGGTGACTCCCGGTTTCCGGGATTTTATTTACAAGGTTCGGCAAAAATGGCCGATTAAAAGTTACGGTCTAACCCTCCCGAGTTTCGTCCTAACCACCCTCGGAGGGAGTCGCTGACCCATATCGCACACGCGTACGCACTCACGCACTCGCACGCAAGTAACGCCGCCCGTGCGAGCGGAATACAAGCGTAGGAAATAAAATGGACGAGCTTGTATTTTCTTGAGGCTGCGAGCCCGCCTCCACAGAAACGCACGTGCGTGCGGTGCGAACACCCACGTGTGTCCGTGCACATGTGACCCACGTGTGTGCGTGCACATGTGACCCACGCCCGCCTATACGCCCCGCGAGTGCGTGCATGTGCTCACACGCACTCGCGGCCTGCGTTTTGTCGCGCGTCCGCGTGCGTGCGCACGCACACGCGCCTGCGGACACGTGTGCGGCCTCGCCTCACGCTTATGAATGAACGTACGTATGCAACTGTACGCACGTAAAGGTATCGATGACTCAGCGTAGACCCTCTTCCCGTTTATGCCCGTTCGTTGATTTATGCGCTATGTATTTTCGCTCGACGAGGAGGAGGAGAGGAAGATAGACGGAGAAAGACACCCCGAGGAAAGGGAGATAATAAAATCGACGTGATTCACCCTCACCTCCGATTTAAACAAATAATTGTCAGAAATAGTCCGCCCCCAAGAATACCCATTCGCGGTTCCCAGGGGTCGCCTTTAAACCCTGGATTTCTCGCCGAGCGGTACTCAGTACAGGAAAACTCTTCCCACAAACATTGCTCGCCCTGATTTACTCTACATATTTTGTATGAAACGTTTTTTTGTAACTCTCTCCGGTCAGGCGGGATTTAGAATCGAAGTGGTTGCGGTTAGGGTATAGGACGAGGGAGGAAGATATCAGGGATTTGCTGTCATCTCGAGGTCGGATTTGAATCGATTGTTCTGCATGCCGGCCGCGCCTTCGTATTTATGAATTATGGATAGGTTCGCGAGCGCGTTCGCGTTATTAGCTTCGCCGATTCCGTATGTTGGCCTAGGTCGCGGCCGGCCCGTTATCGAGTCGCGACTCGGCGTAATAAACGATACGCGCCGATAATTAATAAAATGACTGCCGTTATCGCCTCCCGCGGGAGACCCGAAGACGCCCTCGCGCGTACCGACGCCGTTCGACGGCGACTCCGTTATTATGATTCCATAAATTTGCATCCGCGAGCGAGCTAATTGCGCGCCGCGACGCCGGTTGAGGGCATATTATTCATTGGAATGACTGATTACAAATTCCATCCGTGATTTCAGTTATTCGTGGTCATGGGTGTCGGCGTCCTTTTCCGCGCCGACGTGTACGTATTATATACGTATTACGCGCGTACATCTCACGTATATGCGAAATCTGTATACGTATGTACACATACGTGTGTACACGTGTTTATTTATTTATTTATTTATACCCTCGCCAACTAGCGTAAGCACGTATTACGCGGTGCGTCGATTTACACGGTTTCGCCGGCCCGGCAGCACGTCACGCATTATGTATTACGCGTATGCGCAATGAGGTAACCTGCATAATGTATCGCGCGAGTACTGTTTTTCAATAGGAATTACGGCATCGCCCTCTATGGCCATTAGTTCGACCCGAGGCCTGCCATAGGGATCCCTTTTCCATGGCTTTTCCCTAGGACGCTCCGAAATTGCCTACGTCGCCCTAACCTTCATTCCCGAAAACTGCACATATCAATTTCCCCTCGCATTACTTTCACCCTTTTCACGAGCACAACCTACACGCGGGTGCGCTCCGCATCCGCGGAAAACCCGGAACTTTCCCCGACCCCCTGACCCCGTGGCGTAACTTTTCGATTGACTTTCCCAACTTCGTGCGCATAATATGTACACGGCCCCCCCGTAAAAATTCCCGGTCCCACAGGTGCGCCCCTCTTTGTGAACTCCCCTATGGTGGCCACAGACGAAACGATAAATCGCTGCGACAAAAGTGTGCCAACTGGCGGGCGATGGACACACACAAGGACCCGATTTACCTGGACAGATTGCAAACCGCTACAACTTACCCCCACCTATGTGCCAATTTTTATGTTTCAATTCGATACGAGGTACCTCATCTCTTATTTTATCATTTATTTTATCGCCCTGTATTTCTTTTTTTTTTTCTTTTTTTCTATACCCGGGATATATCCATGTTCCTTTCCCACGCGAGTATTGAGTAAGGGTATCGACTTCTCTGACGTCATCGGTCGTTCCCACGTGGAGGCGCTCGATTTCCCGAAATCCGGGAAACTCGCCGCGGCGAGGGCTTCTCAGGGCAGGACTGTAGCGTCGCTTTGACACACGCTCCCGGGGACAGTCGAGAGTTCCTCTCTGGCAGAGTCGGTCTACGATTATCGATCCCGGACGAGCCCTTAAGCCCGGGCGTGCGGCGGCCGGGGAAAGGGGGGCCGCGATAGAAAGGGGACAAAGAGATGGAAAGTAGTATGATTCCGCCCGGAGAGCCTCTCCGTCTCTTCGTCCTTCTCCGTCCCTTATCGCGTCTACCTGTCCCCCTTCTTCCTATCTCGAGGCTCCAGGCTCGATCGAGCCTCCGATGGTGCGCAGTGCGTGTCGTTAATTAGCTCCTCGTTCTTCTCTGTGTTCCAGGTGTGACGCGCCGCCGTGGCGAGGACACCGACTATGAGCTGAGGCCTCGTCATTAATCGTAAGTACGACTCATCGCCCCCCTTTCATTATTTTTTTTCCTCCCTTTAATTTAATAACACATCGCGTTGGTAGATAATCACCGTTCCGTATCGCGGCCAGGTATTCCCATCATCCTCGCAATTTCGGGGGCAAGGGGACCCGGAAATTCTAGGTTAGGTCGCTCTTGCGAGAGTTCGCCGGGCACATACATCGACCCGCCATTTTGAAGGTCCCCGGCGCCGTTTGCCGAACTTTATTTCACTTTCTGACCTCGCGACGTCACTTTTGAATATACTTTCCTGGACGGTTGTGCATCGTAGGAAATCCACTCCCGGATGTAAAGCGTCTCGATGGTTTTTATGGAATCGATGCTCTCCCCGTTTTTTCATTTTCTTTTTTTATTATCTATCCCATGTTTATACCTTTGTCGTTTCATGGCGAACACTGCGTTTCGAACCGCCTCCGGCGTCTAGATTCAATTTTATTTAACTTCCTAATTATTACCATTTCGGAATTAATTCTCCCGAGTGTTGTACATCGGGAATAGTTTCCCCTCTTTTTTCACTTATGTTTATCAACGGGGGCGATTACCCTCGATTTTTCATTCCGTACATTCTGCGCGCCGTTCACCCCAGAGACCTCTTCGGAAGGGCGTAATTAGTCGGTGCTTTGTCGCACCCGCTTCCGCATTCCCTTTTCCTCTTTTTTCGTTGTCTCATAGGTTACCTGCGTAAAGTCACGCGTTACGTATCGTGTATCGCACACCTGGAGTGAGGCAACGTCGGCACAGCGTCCTCCGGGCCGTTAATCGCGGTTCGCGCCTTAAAGGCCCCTGTAAAATGAGTTTATGCCATTGCCGACCTTACGCATCGTTTCCGCGCCGTCTCGGGGCCGTCATTAAACCCGTGCGTAAAACTTTCTTCGCCTGACCCGGTGACGTCATATCCGTGCTTTTTCACCGGCGGCCCGAGTGCGCGATAAATGTAATGCATACAAAGTGCGAGCACCTTTAGGCGGCGCGAAGACCTCTCCTCGAGGCTCGATTGAATCGGTTATTTATGGACCACTCCGAGCCTACTTTTTTCTCCCTCGGTGACGGTATGAGTTATCGTTTGTCTCCCGGAGAGTCTCGCTTCTTAGCGCGGGTTTACCGACCCTGCCGCTCTCCTCCGCGTTTCCCGCAGTTTAGCCCCGTAGTCTACGAAACATTTATAAACTAATATCCTAGATACAGCCCGCGACCCGTGCCAAGTGCGCCTTAGTACGTGTCGGTGATAAACGAGTACCTCCACGTGCGCCCGATAAGTGGCCCCCTCCACCCTCCTGCCTCGGAAAGTGCATTTACCGATTTTTCCTCCGATTTCTCGCAAACTACCTCGACCCGGTGACCCTGTGACGTCACCGGCAACGTGTCCAGGCGAGTGCGTCACGCGCATTACACGCGCCACGTGACGGAGTTAGGTTAGGTTAGGTTAGGTTAGGTTGTGACCGGACAGCGGCACCGCGCGCACTGCGCGAGTAAGCGCGCGCCTCGCCCTGCGCGCACAACCCCTCGGAATGCTTCTCAGTATTAGTGTATATTGTCCGCGCCGTTAACGTCTAGTCTGCGTACACCTACGTGTCCGTGTGTAGATATGTATATATGCCGTATATATGGATACGTGTATATAAACGTATATATATGTATCCGCTCTATTCGTGCCGGTTAGAGAGTCGAGGGATGGTTTTGCTCTGCTGGCTCTGTATTGATTGCCGCTCCTCCTCCTGGTGCTGCTTCGCCTCCTCTGCCTCCTCCTCCGACCGTCCTGGCCGCCACACCAACGCGAACCGAAACGTCGCAGCTCCCCGAACGAGTGATCCCTCGGCCTCGTGGTTTCTCGCTCTATCCCCGCTATCTCGCGCTCCGTCGTACCCGGCGACCCGAGATATCCAGAAAACCCTCGCCCGGGGATTCCTTTCCACGATTTTCCGCGATTAGACGCCGATAATTAAGGTATTTCAGTCCTTCGAACCGTACCGCGGACCTAAGTCGAGTCAGGCCGAGGTCCGCCATCTTGAATCTGCCGGACCGACGTTCGCGTCTCCCGGGGACGCTCGAGGTAAATTTCGAATTTTTAACCTCCGCGGCCTGATTGGACGGTTCAGATTGCTTGGTAAATGTTCACTGGAGGTGGAGGTACTCGGTTGTGGGCGAAAAGTCGGGAGATCCAGGAATTAAGGGTGATCTTTCACCGGAAGAGACGTGATATTTCATTTCGAATCGTTGCGCCCGCCATCTTGAATCGACGCGCCACTCGGGGCGGCTTAGCTTAACCTAACTTTGTAACGACACTCATACGTTTACACTACAGCTGTTGGGGGAGGTGGGAGGGTGGTAATCAGCTGATCCGGCACGGGAGGGGTGCGACCGGTTACTCCGCGAAATTTGCGCTTTTTTGTTATGTCCGTGAAGCGCGTTTCGCGTTTAATGTTTCTCCCTCGCCGTCGTAAATTTTTGCACTGTGTATAGATTACGCGTTACACCGCGTTTCTTTGGTCGGCGGGCCGAAATTACGAATCGACGTTTGTAAATCCTCCAGGAAAGGTCGGTTGATCAGTGGGGGGGGGGTTAATGCGGATGCAAATTTCGGAGATTCGGCTATTGTAATCGATCGCGGCGGGTCGAAGGGGTGGCGACCACCCACTTTCTCCCCGACTCGATTCGCCGTTAATAACGGCGCGGCTGTAGGGAGAGCCGTGCTAACCTAACGTAGTTACGATGTATATTTATACAACAGCTGGTGGTGGAGGTGGAGAGGTGGCAGTCAGCTGATTGAAGCGCGGGAGGGGAAGGCCCATACCGTGCCAGATAGCCGCGCTAACTGCGGCAGTCTTGACGTCCCTTTTATTTTTACTCCCGGATTCGTTTTTGCCCCCCCTTAAAAAATATTGGCCGATATTTGCCATTCACTTTTTCTTGTTTTTTTTTCTCTCTCATTTTTTTTTCGGGGGTGCGTTAGCGTCAACTTCGAATTTCCAGGCTGGATTTGGCGTTAGCCAGCCAACCGGAAGTGGATATAGATTCGGACGGGTTTACATTTCCGATCGATCGGAATGTTCCTGGGGTGGGATGGACCACCCACCCCCCTCTCTCGATTCCCCGTAATAACGGAGCAGCTTTACGGAAAGCCGGTCCACGGCCTAACCTAGCCTAACGCAACAACAATGTGTATATTTACACAACAGCTGTTCGCGCCGCGGGAGGAGAGGGGCAGTCAGCTGATCGCACCGCTGGAGGGGAATGGCGGGACTTGTGGAGTAGCTACAGGGGGCCGAAATACGGATTTCCACACTTTTCTCTTCACCATTAAAATCCCATTATTTTTCAAAATATACCACTCCTCCGAACGTCGCTTCGAACGGAAAAAGACCTTTTCCAAAATAACGAACAGCAAGTTCATATTTTTATTTTATATATATATATTTTTTTAAGGACACTTTTAATTTCAATCTCGGGAATTGTCATCAGTCAAGGAATCGAGAATACATGAGTCGCAAAATTCGGAAGGGTTGATATTTCCGATCGATCGTGACGTGTTGGTGGAGGCGAAACTACCACCCCCTCCCTCCCTCCCTCCCTCTCTCTGGCTCAATTCCTCGTAATAACATCCACAGCTGTACCGAGAGTCGGTCTGACCTAACCTCACCTAACGTTGTAACAATGTATATTTATACAACAGCTGTTTGCGGCACCGGAGGGGGGCAGTCAGCTGATTGAAGCGCTGGAGGGGAGGAGTGGTGGGGAGAAGCGAGCTACTCGGAAGCCTTTCTCGCTCGACAAAGGCGATTCCTCCTCTTCGGTTATTACGAAAAGATGACTGAGAAGGATAGGGAGTGACGTTACCGACATTAGAGTCTCTCTCTCCATTCTTTGCGAGTGGTTCAAGGAATCTCGCGAAACTTTCGTTGGACGGGTTAAACGTTAGGGGGGACGCGGCGGTACCCTTTCGGGAGTTTGGTTTAGCTTGGAGGAACTGTTTAAAGGACCTTCCTGGATTTCAACGCGACGCGTTGACGCGTACTCGAGTTTCCGTCGAGGGTTAGGCTGGCGAAACGGGGAACTTAACTCATGGCGGCTCGTAACGTCGCTGGCCGATCGATTGGCTCGGGCACAAAGGATCGGCCCCAGTGTCGGTGATAGTCACACGTGTCGGTGTCAGTACCCCTTCTGTCGGTGTCGGTGTCCACTGTACCCCTGATAGCACTCTATATCAATGTCAGCGCCCACTGTATCCATGACAGGGGAGATCGGGGGTAATTGTAAGAATTTGTAGTACTGGATCTCTCGCTTTGACACTTCGTCCAAAAATATTCCAAACGGAGGGAAATATCGCCCTATGGTTGTAATGTTATCAATACGACTTAGTAACTGTTGTTACCTTTATTGGAAGATACCAAACAAAAATATATACACATACATGATTCAAGTCTGAATTTACGGATAAAGGACTAAAATACCGAAAATAATTGGCATTTTTTTTTTCGCGCAACCCAAGTAAACCAATATTCAACCTGGAATTGATTGGACGTCTTTTGAAGGATCTTTCGGTGTGGCCAGATTTTTCTTTTTTTTTTAATTTCTTTCTAACCGATATCACAATTGTGCGGGATCTCTCTATGTTCGACGTATCGGTGATAGAATATCGAGCATCGGGTATCACCGATTCCCTCGTTTAAAACCATCGACAGACAAGAGCGGCCACATAATAACGCGAATTACGATCCCGCGGCGGTTTGGTCCGCTGCGGAACGATTCCGCGATACCCGCGGCGGTCTCGCCGCCGGTGGGACGACTTAACCGCTCGTTCGAATTGCCGCTTTTAATAGGGTAGAATAATTATTCCCCCGTCGGTGGTTCGGCCGTCCTTGCAAATTAGGGACTCGTTGAGCACCTCCTAATGACCGGCCGGAATTTCGGTACGTTCATCAAGGATTATCTGAACTTCTTCTTTTTTTTTTTCCCTTCGACTCTCCACGATCAGTTTTCCGTTTAAGTACTCTACCGCGTCGCGGGGAAGCTTAAAGCATCGCGTAATCGTTTCATTGTAGCAGACGCGTCATTCAGCCCGGAGGCCCTGATTTATTCTATTCCCACCGGGGGCTCTAAAAATGTTGGAAACGGAAGAATCTCGGCGTCCCATTGCGAGGATGCGCCACCCTTCCGCTATTTATGCACTTCCCACCCCCCGATTCACCCACTTCCGAAGAGAGTTGCCCTCCCAACATCCACCCCTTCGATGCGGCCCAATCTAATTAAATTACCAGCTGCAACAATTTAACGAGATAGCCGATAATTAGAGTGCTCTAATCTCAGGTGGACAGAAAAATCCATTTGTGGTGGATAACCACTCGGAGGAAGAAGGGAAAAAAAAAGAAAGAATAAAATCCACCTTCAACCAGAGGAGATATCTCTTTTAGCAGTGCCATTGAAATATCTTATCAATTCAAGGAATAATTGACCCAAGCCGAAACAAATTGTATGCGACGTTACCTCGGAATTGTGACAATGTCAGTTAAGTCAAATTCTTCGAATCGACGAGTTCATTTCTTCGGTGAAATTAAAAGAGATATTTTCTCGGGAATTTCCTCTTTTTTTTTACCACCCCCTTTCTCAGAGCAGTCACTCAAAATTGCTTTATTAACCCCTTGCCTTATGATTTAAATTCCAATGGTGCGTGCCCTGAACGACAAAAATGTTGGTCATATATTTCACGGTTTGGCTGAACGTTTAAAGTCTCACGCGTCTCTCATACGTTTTGTTTACATTTGGCCCGATTGATATACCACGTCTCTCACGCGATATTCTAAGTGAAGAGGTTAACTTAGCCCAAAATTAGCTCAAAATTGCTTTATTAACCCCTTGCCTTATGATTTAAATTCCAATAGTGCGTGCCATGAACGACAAAAATGTTGGTCATACATTTCACGGTTTGGCTGAACGTTTAAAGTCTCACGCGTCTCTCATACGTTTTGTTTACATTTGGCCCGATACACATACCACGTCTCTCACGCGATATTCTAAGTGAAGAGGTTAGCCCAGCGAGTAGTGTCGTCATTAGTTTCTCGTTTTTGAGAATCCCGGGGAGTTTCGCCGCACCCTGGTGGTACGTCTACCTGTCTATGCGCCTCCGGATTAACCTGTGCCCAGATCTACCGAGGCCCATCCCGGGTTTCGACGATTCATCCGGCATATAACTCGGTTCGGTCGCGCTCTTACTAACAATCCCATTAAGGAGCCTCTACACCGTAAACTCGTTTGGCTCCAATCACGGCCTCTCCCGTTCTCTCTCGCTCGTCCGGTCTCCGCGGCCGGGAGGAAAGAGAGAGAGAGAGAGGAGGGGCCGAGCGTTCGAGCACACGTAAACGCGGGACACGTTAACGAAATCGCTGGTACGTTTCAGGGGACTGGCATGGAGAAGGAGAACTCCGCGTCGGGCGGCGGCGGCGGCGGCGGAGGCGGCGGAGGCGGCGGCGGAGGTGAAGTTACGGCCACGGGGACGGGGGCAGGGGGCGCCACCCCCGCCTCCGAGAAACTCCAGGCGGACCAGGCTAACCCGCTCCTCGACCCCACCGCCCTTTTCGGTGGTGAGTCTCGCTCCAGAGAGTCCCAGGACTCTCGACGTATACTATTTAACCCGGTTATTCGTCGAAAGATGCCCGCCGATGATTTTTCATCGGGGGATACCAGATATATGATATGATATGACGCCCGCCGATGATTTTTAATCGGGGGAAATACCCAGATATATGATAAACAGAGGACGCCCTTAAGGTGGAGGTAAAAGGTGGCGGTGAAAATCTGGGTGCCTAGTCGTTTGAAATTTTGCCTTTGTTCTAATGAAACGCGGTGGTCGTAAGAATAAGGCCCCACCTTAAGGTGATGTGAAAGTGGCGTCGAAGAGGTTTTGTTTATAAAACTTATCTCCCGATTCGGTTTACCGAATAGTTTGAAACTCTACTACGTGAATAGGGAGACTGTAAGGAAGGTCCTGAAACTCGTGAAATTTCAATTGTTTTCAAATTTCATTATAGGTATTTTAAAGATAGTTTGTAAACAATGAAATTTCCCGAGTTTCAGGACCTACCTTAGGGTCTCCATATTCCCGTTTTGAAGTATGAAACGACTTGAGACGCCCAGTTTGTAGAAAAGTTTTATTAACGATTCAGCTTTCACATCCCCTTAAGGTGGTATTACGTTTGCTGCCCGATAGAGTTAAGCGATGAGGTTCAATAAGAAAATGGAAATCCACCGTAGGGGTTACGATAACAGGAGAGGGTCGTAAATCGAGTTCTTCCGCGACGTCCTCGGGAGGGACCGGTTTGTTTTATAGGGACGGTTGTGCAGCCTCCTTTAGTTTCGCGCCAATCCTAGGACGGAGCTCTTACTATAACCGGCGGGAAGAGGGGGGAGTTTATAAGAGTTTAAGAGTTTAACCGGGTAATCGGCCAGTAATTAGAAACGCAATGAAAGGACTCGGTCGAAGGAAGCCCGGTTTGCCGGTGATAAGCGGCGCCCGCGATAACTCGGCATGTGGTGTGATAACATCCGCATGTTACCGGCGCGATTAGCGCGGGAAGGTGGCGCGTTACCACCGCTCGTTTGTTAATTAGCCCCCGGGGACCCGCCACCCTTTTAACTGTCCGCCTCGTAACGAAGGTGGCGGACTCTTTCCCGATTCCTCGGCAGATCTCGGCTTTATTAATTATCGGCGCGAGTTAGCCCCCTTTTAGGCGTTAACTCTTCGAGATACGATCACGCGGTCGCCGGCTCAATTAATTATCGGGTTAATACCTCTGCCGGGCGTTTGTTCTTCCGCAGCTCACGTGTCGGATCCTCAGTCGCGTTCTTTATATCTCCCCGCGGAGACAAACTCGATTACGTGTCATAAACAACAACATATCGGATTTAAGGTGCCCTCGAAACCCCATCGAAGCACAAGGTTAGGGACAATGAGATACCTCAAATCATACGCATCGACCTTTATTGCTCTTACTTAAACATCCTCCATAGACATTCCACTTATCCGCTACCCCGAAGCTCCGCCTTCGCCATCTTGTCCATCCTTCCCTCCTCGTCCCGCGTCCCGCCGCTAAAAAGATGAGGTTACCGTCGCCATTACTCACGGGGTCTCTTCCGCGTCTCTCCTTCCGCCGTCCCCGGGACGATTTTCGGGAGTCCCGCGCCACCTGGCGGGCGCCATTCCCTTGATGCGTCGGGAAATCACGTATCGGCAATTCCCGGACGGAGGCGCGCGCGCGCCCGACGTGGTAACCCGGGAGCGGATACGTCCAATGCCCGCCCGCGTTCCAGCTCTCGCCGAGTCTGCTCCGGTCACGGAGTGGAGATGCTCTCGTCCGTGGCTGCGCCCCCTCCCCTTCCCCCCCATCAGCCCCCACCCTTCCACCCCTCTCGCCGTTCCCGTAGTACTTGAAGGTTTCTTTTTATTTCCTCTCTCTCCTCTCCCCTACCACCCACCCCTCTAGCCAAACCCTCCGAGCGGGCTTTCCACCTCGAGAGGTCGCCGTTAGGTCGCGGGGCTTTGGAGACGCAAGAACGGACCGACGGACGGACGCGACGAGCGTCTCTCCTCTCTCGCTCCCTCCCGCTCCGGGGCTGGTTCTGTATATTTATTGATTGCCACCTCGGCTCTCTCTCTCGCGCTCTCCTGCCTCGACTGTCTCTCTGTCTGTCTCTCTCTCTCTCCGGTCTGCGGCAGTCGCCCCCCCCCTCCCCCAGCCGCGGCCCCGGTCCTTCGTGCCTCATCTCCCGCGCGCCACCCTGGGCCCTCTCGTCATCCTTCCCTCCTGCGCGCCATCTCGCGCCATCGTGTGCGACTCGTCCGGGGGGAAGCTCCCCCCTCGCGACGAAAGCCTTTCGTTTAGTCAACGCTCGAGCCGCGTCGATACACCGGTGCTCGTAAGATCACCGAAGTTAAGCGACGTCGGGCGCGGTCGCTGCTCGGATGGGTGACCGTCAACGAGAGACGACATATCGCGTAGCGTTGGCGAAAAAACAAAAAAACAATGGCACTTGGCAACGTCGTAAAAGGGATGAAATACAGACAAACAATAAAGAATAAACAAACAAAGCCTTAAGTTTAACCTGCTATGGATGCGACTCTCTCGCCGATCTGACGGCTGGGTTAGGGTGCGAGGTTGTCGGGAACTGTCTCGAGATGAGAGAAAGAGATGTCAGAAGGTTGAAGTATCGGAGAATTTTTTTTCTGGCCCGGGAATTAAGGCGATATGAAAGGGTCATTATATATATATATAAAACGTCAAAATGTTTATAAAACTTTTCTACGAACTGGGTGCACCGAGTCATTTGAAACTTCAACATGGGATTGTGGAGGCACTAAGGAAGAACGCGATGCTCGTGAAATTTCATTTTTCACAAAGAAATTTTTCTTTTGTTCAGCTTATACTAGAACGAAAATCACGTTTTTTTTTTTTTTTTTTGTGAAAAATGAAATCTCACGAGCATCGCGTTCTTCCTTAGGGCCTCCATATTCACGTGTTGAAGTGTCAAATGATTCGGTGCACCCAGTTGGAAGAAAAGTTTTATGATTGTTTTGACGTTTTATATATATAGAATGACCCTTTCATATCACCTTAATTCTTTAATTATGAAACGCCACTATAGTGACCCTCTTGTATTCCCTTGTATTTAAAGTGACAAATGAATATCGTATTCATATATAAAATATTAACACTCCACGGCCGACTCCGCCGTAGTTAAAGGGTTAACATGGGGAAGTACGCGATAAGGGCTGAATTTTGTTCCGTAGGTCTTTTGATATCGTAGGTTGTATGTGTGACGTTTAGAAAATCGTCTGTAGGCGAGTTATTAAAATCATTGAAAATTGGGATACCGTGGAAAGAGTTAGCGAATGGAAGTGGGGAGAGCCGCCATCTTTGGTGGAGGGTTTTCTTCGGCCAGAGGAAACGTTTGATGTCGGTTTTTGGTAGACTTGGTTAAGGAACCTCTTGAGATGTGTGCAGAAGTAGCGGAAGAGAGGTTGCCGGAAAAAGGCTTAAGAACCGGAAGCGATTTATGACGAGTGGAAGTAGCCCCCCTTAAAGGGGGCAAGTGAGGTCGACCTTTTTCCCGACCCCCGGACTCTGGGCTGCGTTTAATTAATTAGGCACTGCGCCATTGTTAACGCCTAGCATCGAGTTTTGATATCGCGACAAATTATACATCTCGTCCCTTAACCTGGTTAACCTGTTGCTCGGAGGATAGATGGGAACACGTAGAAATTCCGGGATAATTAACCGGAGCACTTTGTTCTCTCTTTCCCCTCCCTTCGGCCGGGAAAAGTGCGGGAAGAATGTTTTATAACAAAATTAGCCGCCCCTGCCGGGGGTGGGATAACGGCTTCCAGAGATTTCCAAAAACTCGGGATATATTTAATCGAATGAGAACTCCTCGATGAAATTTTTCCAATTAAAAATTATCCCCCCACTGCTGCTAGTCTTTATCGCGTTAATGACATCACATTCTGTATATCGTGCGCGGATTATCGTTGCGTATCTTAATTGTAATATTAAATGCATCTTGGGGGACTTTAAGTCGGTAGGAAATGTTTTGGTCACGTGGGACTGGAGTTCCCTCATTTTCCGCGAGGAGCGCTCGCGTCGTTAGATCAGCGATAATCTGAGATCAGGGGTCACGATTCTGGGGCCATTTTCTGTGGAACCGACCATTCACGTTATGTATCCTTATACTACTTCATAGTCCGGACTAATGGCGACCGATCGTGATTCTCCGGGACTGGCCGATCGTTTCTCTCGCCTCTGGGAACGACTCGCTCTCGCATGCTCCTCGTCCATTTATAGCGGAGAGTCGCGGAGCGCGCTTATTCGTGGAAACGTTGCGTGCGCGTTAACGTCGCCACCGGCCTACGGGCGATCCGTTCCGAGCCGGAGAACCGTGCTCGGTCGACCTAACCTAACCCGTCTCGTCTACCTCCGTGGGCAAGAGACTGTCCGGCCAAACCTAACCAAACCGAACCTAATCACGTGTACTTACGTGGGCAAGAGACTGCCGACCTAACCTGGATAAATCTAATCGTGTATGCTTACACGAGTAAGAGACTGTCGAACGTAACCTTATTTAACCCAACCGCGTGTTGGAGCCGAGGATAAGGAGCCGACCGGTCGAACCTAACCTCACTAAAATTAACCACGTGTACCTATGCGGACAAGAGTTGCCCGGTTAACCATAACTTAACCTAATCGTGTACATTATGCCTCATATTCGTACAAGAGGCTGTTAATCCTAATCTAATTTTACATAACCACGTGTAGGAGAATGTCGTGTCCAACTTAACCTAGCCACGTGTACCTAGCCTTCATTTTTCTCTCTCTCAGGGCACCTCTTGGAATCAATCGATAGAACGATTCTTTAGCAACCTTGATATCGCATGTAGGTATTCCCGCCGTGTCAGGTGCTACGAATAAGATAGAGAGAGAGAAAGAGATCAGGGGGAGGATTCAGGCGTTTCCAGGAATCGAGCGCCTGCCTCTTGGTTAATGAATCAATGGAACCGATTCTTGGCACGCGCAATTCCTGTTTATACGCT